ACGTCTTGTGCACCCCCAGCCTACTGGCTGGTGGGGTGGTGTGAGAAGCAGAAAAGGCCTTGACTCTGTGTCAGCACTGCTCAGCAGTAACTAAACCATCCCTGTGTTACCAACACTGTTTTGGTCACAAATCCAACACACAGCCCCGTACTAGCTACTATGAAGAAAATTAACTCTGTCCCAGCCAAAACCAGCACAAAAGGGAAGACCAAAACGCAGACGTTTTGATTATTTGGTGATCCCCAAGCATGTTCCTACGTGTTTCTCTTATTTAAAAAATATGTTCACCTTATCACTTGTACACCTTTCCAAAACATTTTGTTCTCTCAGCAGATAAGGCCTGTCCTGGCCTTAATGCAGTGCACTCGGAAGAGTGTTGGGTTTTGTCTTTATTTTTAACTTCAGTGGAATGGAAACAAATGAGCAACTTACTGTGGACTCACCTCAGGATACATTGTCAGTTATGCTGGAGGGATTGCACATTTTACAGGAATTATTACTTGTTTGTACGTAACAGTACTTAGTAATTTAACAATCTGTTTGTGCATACCCTTTATTTAACAGTTATAAAACTTTATTTTCATTTACAATAAATTGTTTTCAGATATGATGCATAATGTGGCCTTCATTATTTATAACATACTGCACACTTTTTGTGCTAGACTTCCTTCTCCTGTTTGTTTTTGTACCCATTGTGAATCAATTTTAAAACATTTGTCAGAATGAAACAGTAAATTTGAAAAATTCTGTCAGGCAAACTTGTCAAAATATAAAGAAAAATTATTGCTCCTCTTGAATCTGAATGAAAATAATCTGTTACAGCATAGTTGTTTCAATTTTTCTAAACTGTGGCAACATACATCTTATTGACAAGTGTGACGAGGAGGAAAGACCTTTAATATCGTATTGATGATACAAATTCTTCGGAGTCAGAAACCAGAACTGTCCATGCTCACTGTGTTGAAAAAGAATATGGTGGTTAAACCATAAGCAGTTAACAAACAGCAGCAGAGAACATTATCTTGTCATTTGGAGTATATGGGAAGGGATGACCAAAATCTCACTATACTTGCCCACCTAGTAGTATTCTACGTTGCCTTGCCTTTTCTTTTTTTGCTTTATATAAAAGAGATAAAGGCATTAGATTCCAGTGAAAATTTCTGCTGTATAATGTTGCTTTGAACATGTTCTTTCAAAGCTGTCGTATCAAACTGGATGTTAAGTTGAAGGTTGTGATGATAAGGGAGTAAGGTGTTATATTTGTAGCCATAACTTCATGGTGAGTGGAAGGTGGATCTAAAATGTGCTGGCGGGCTGTAAGAGAGGGCATGTAGCTTTCAGTCTCTACAGACAGTTTAGGTGTTGACATCTAAGCTGGTTACCACTCCCTCTCTGTATAAGGAGTAAATGAGGGAGTGGAAGTGAAATAGGTGAGTTGAGTGATCATACAGATTTGTCTCAACCTGACTGTGCAATAGTATTAAAATGTTCATATAACTTAAATAGCTCTGTTTAGTAGAACTGGGCTTTGATGCTGCTTTCCCTATTAGTTATATTTATTTTTTTAAAAGAGATCTTATTCTTTGCAGACACATGCGATGAAATTGAATCCCAGTGACCAGTCCTTAAAATTATCACCACTCCAAAAACAAAAGGTACTGTAACTAATAATATATATACACACGTATACTTACACTGATGTTTAAAAGACCTATAATTCTTGTATTATCCTTGTAATTTATTGTTTTGCTTTGAGTTTCAAAAGCTAGGCAAATTTTATAGGCCTCCTCTTGCTAACTTTCTGAATGTCCACAAGGTAAAACTCAAAGAAGCTGACAGAAGTCAGAGGGAATTTATGCACACAGATAGAACTCTTCATATCCAGCATAGTTTGAGATGAGAGTATATAATACTTCACCAGTTTAAGGAACAAAAGACTATCATGTACACTTTGTAACTTACGCTGATAACATACATTTCTTCTGGTTTGTTGATGTTAAAGTATTTTAATTGACATTTGGGACACAATGTAAGTAAAGATTTTATTTACAGAAATTCACCATGGAGTATATTTAAAGGAGCAATAATACTGGTTTTAATTATGAAATTAAAATACTTTTGTATTATCTTTCTATTTCACTCCTAAAGTGATCCCAGCATTTCAGCATTTTGGTATATTTCATTATAATTTTATTTTATAATTAAAAATATTCTACAGAATTTGTTTATTAAGTGTAAAATTTAAAGCAGAAAGACAACAGATTTTCAGACATATTAGAAAAAGCATAATAGTGAGTGCATCAGAAGATTTCCCAAGGGGAAAGGTGGAGGAAGGTGTGAGAGAACTGTAGTTCTTTCCTTCTGTTCGCACAGCCTCACACATTGCATGTGCTCTAGCCTATGGGACATGATACTGGCTGGGGGGGGTTTTTTTTCTTTTCTTTTTTTCTTGTGTGCTTGGATAGCGAAAAAGGAGTAGTAGTACATTTATCATGGACAAAATGTTACATTCTTCTAATATGTGCACTTGTAAATTCATTTCATGTGAAAGACTCTACCTTTTATGCTATCTGTTAGTCCCCTCATACAAATTATTTCTTTTCTTGTTCAGATGTTTTTGTAACCTTTTTCTTTTGCTGTCATTTGTCCTTAATGCTTTCCTTCTTTCTTTTTAATTTTCTGCTTCTGATGTGGAATAGAAGAACAATAAAAATGCGAAACTGAAAAGAGATGGTAAGGGTGGGCTGAAAAACAAGGATTCTCATTTCATGAAGGAGGGCTCAAAATTAGACTCTGGCTCTTTACAAAAGCAGTCTTCACTTTCAGAATCACCGGGACAAGATATAGAAAAAAGTAGTGCCTTTGTAGGGAAGCCTGTGGCCAAAAAAAATACAATGAAAGGTAAATCTGAGCATGCACAAAGTGTTAGCACTTTGAAAAGTTGTGTTCAACAAATTACTGAGGAGAAATGCAGATTAGTGAAAAGGGAAAAAGAATATGTGGAAAATCCTGAATTTCTCAGAGAGGAAGTAACTTACAATCTTCCCACTGAACAACAAATTCTGACTGAAAAAACAAATTCTTCCAATAAAAAGTCAAAGGCTGTTAAGTCTAAGCAATCCCTTAAAATAGATGTACTTCCTTTTGCATCCAGGGATCAGCCCCAGCCTGATTCATTAATTGTACAAAAATACAGTCCTGTTAAAAAGCAAGGAAGTCAAGAAGCAGTAGAAAGTCGAAACAAAATAAAGGATGTTGTTGAAAAATCTGATAAATGTGAAAGAATATGCATCAGAGGAGAAGAAAGTAGTGAAGAGCAGAGGGGTTTAAAACAAAAGGATCAATTTTTAAAACAAATGGCTGTAACTATGTCATCATCTTCATCTGGGGAAAGTAGTAATGATCTTGCAAAATACGTACGTAAGAGTAGGGAAAAAGAAGAGGACTACTATGAAGACAGAGACATCCAGAAGGCAATGAAAACAGTAGAAAATGTGAAAGATTTGGACTTAGAAAAAGAAGACAGTGAGATTGAGGAGGTGCAAGCTACAAACAACGAGAAAGAATATGTAGAAGAGACTGATATAAAAAGTCTGAATGAGGAAGAAACAAACTCTGAAGCTAAATCTGATGAAGACAGGCAGTTAGAAATTAAGAATGAGGAGGAATCTAATCAAGAGCAGGAGAGTGAAGTCAGTGAAAAGGGTGAAAGTGAAAAAGAAAAACTAGATGAAACAGTTGACAGTGAAGGTGAACTACGGGAGGAAGAAGAAGAGAGTGAGGTTAAAAAAGATAGATATGACGTTTCAGTAGAAAGAGATGAAGATGAAGAGGAAAAAGATAATGAGGAAGAAAATGAAAGAGAGGAATCACAGGCTGAAAGAGACAGTGAGAATGAGGGTGCAGAAGGGACTGAAGAGATTAATCAGGAAGATGGCAAAGAGCAAGGAGATGAGGAAGGCAGGTTGATGGAGGAAGAAGAAATGCCGAGTGAGGGAGAAGACAAGGATATGGAGGAGGAGGAGGAGTATGCAAAAGAGGAAGACACTGAAAAAAAAAAGGAGGAACAGGTTAAAAGTGAGGGAAGAGATGAGAGTGAGGAAGGAGGTGAAGATAGAGAGGGGGAGGAAGAAAAAGAGGTAGAGGCAGAAGAGGAAGGAGAAGATGAAAAGGAAAATGAAGAAGAAAACAAAGAAAGGGAGAATGAAAAAGACAAAGAGGGTGAAGAGGAGGACTTAGAAGAATCATTGGCAGGGAGGGAGGAAGAAGAGGTATCCAAAGAAGAACAGGAAGAGGAAGATGCAAATAGGAGGACTAAGGAGGTGGGGGAGGATGGAGTGGAAGAAGAAGGAGAAGAGGGGGAGGATGAAGTGGAAGAGGAAAGAGAAGATGAGGAGGAGGAAGAGGAAGGAGCAGAGGCAGAAGCAAAAGGGGAGGAGGGGGAAGAAGATGAAAACAAGGAGGAAGAGGAGTGGGAAAATGAAGAAGAGGAAGGGGAAGAAGAAGGAGAAGATGAAGTAGAGGGAGAAGGGGTTGAAGAAGATGAGGGAGAAGGGATAGAAGAAGATGAGGGAGAAGGGGAGGAAGAAGAAGAGGGAGAAGAGGGAGTGGAAGAAGGAGAGGGAGAAGAGGGAGTAGAAGGAGAGGGAGAAGAGGGAGTAGAAGAAGGAGAGGGAGAAGAGGGAGTGGAGAGGGAGAAGAGGGAGTGGAGAGAGAAGAGGGAGTAGGGAGTAGAGAGGAAGAGGAGAGGGAGAAGAGGGAGTGGAAGAAGGAGAGGGAGAAGAGGGAGTGGAGAGAGAAGAGGGAGTAGAGGAAGTGGAGGAAGAAGAGGGAGAGGACGAAGAGAAGGAAGAGGGAGGGGAGGAAGAAGAAGGGGGAGAGGGAGAAGAAAAAGGGGAAGAGGAAGAGGAGGAACAAGAAGGGGGAGAGGGAGAGGGGGAAGAAGGAGAAGAGGAGGAAGGGGATGTGGGAGAGGAGGAAGAAGAGGATGAGGGAGAGGAGGAAGAAGGAGAGGAAGAGGAAAAAGCAAAAGGTAAAAGAAAAAATGATAGTAATAAGCTTCCACAAAAGAAAAGCAAAACCAGGAAGCCAGGAAAGACAGAAAGTACTGCTTTACCAAACAGCTCTAAACAAAAACTGAAGTCCAAACAGCATGTGGCAAATGGTTTACATAATTCAGAACAATTTTGGAACAATGTGCTACCTCATTATTTAACACTAAAGTAGCATAGACTACTGGAAATGCATTTTAAGCCTATTCAAGAAACTTTGGAACTATGGCAGATTGATTTTTATTACTTAAAAAAAATTAATGTAGTCAAAATATATTATTATGCATATACTTTAAGTGCCAATTTCTTGAAAAGGACAAAGAAAATGTTTAGATTTGGGAAGCTCTTATGAGAGAAATCATATAAATTGTTGATACAGTCATTTACACAATCATCCTTATCATGTATGACACAGCTTTAAAAAAATAATTGCTGAGGAGGCAAAATGTGTTTGCCTCAATTAAATTATAATGTCATGCTGACAACATGAATTATATATTGTAGTACTGTAATCTTCTTTGCCTTTGAATCAGATTTCTTAAGGTAATGCATCAGTTTTAGTTGCAGGATAGCTGACTTGTTAATGTGCCTTATATGACAGGAGTGTCAGTAAATCATCAAAGATACATATTTTTAAATTTTGGTATCACTCCGTATTCATTCCCCCTACTTTCCTTCTGTTCATATATTGGTTAAATGTTTGAGTAATCGGCATAAATTAAAGAAAGGACAAGTTGCCAAATTTACATGGGTCGGTAGATGGGAGGTAAATGGCAATACGTGCCTGGGTAAATGGTGGCCTGGGCTTTTTTGAAGGCCTTAAGGTTGACTTCTTATTTTGGTGTCAGCACACAGTTATGTGCAAAAAGACAAATACAAGTCTCAGAATCTGGTCTAGATTACATTAGAGTCAGAATGCATCTGTTCAGGGATAATTTTTGACTATCACATTTGGTGATTAGACATAATTAAGAATTTGAAAATACATACCTGTAAAACATTATTTACTTCTGTATACTCTGCAGTAAACAGAAGAGTCAGTATCTGCCTACAAAAGACTAAATTACATTAGTCATCTATCTCTAAGGTTCTCATGGAGGGGAATATACTTTGCTGCAGTATGAAGCGTATATATGTTTTCAGGATCAGAGCCTAAGCTTCTCCTCGTTGGAGGAGATTTGTGTTTTTCCCTCCTAAAAATCGCATCTGTGATCTCCAAAAAGAGGATGATGTAATAAACCAAGAAGCCAGATGGAATAGTAGAGAAAATGGCATGAAAGTCTGAATTCTTTTTGGAAAACACAAAATATATTAATACTTCTGGAGTTTCCTTAAAATACACAAACAAATCTTGCAAATTATTTTTGTGACTTTGTAAGATATTGCATTACAGTTTCAACTGTTAGTGGTTGAACTGGCAAAAGAAGGGATAGGGACTCGCCATACAGCATTATTACTCAAATACTGCGGGTGGTCTGAGAAATTTTTGTAAACTGATCTCAGTGTTGACATTCTCTAGAAAAATAGCTATTTAAATCCTATTTGAAAATGAGGACAGGAGAAGAAAGGAATCAAAATGAATAAATGTCGTTCAATAAAAATGT